TACTACTCCTAGACAATAAACCGATTTAAGCGATTTATTCATCTGTATAATGTTTATTTAATAGCCAAGCTCTTTCTCCATATTTTATTTATTTTTATTAACATATCACATTAATATTAAAAGAAAACTAAAGGTAAAAAGTATTGTAAAAATTAAATTAATAGTTGGTAATTTTTTCAAACAAAATAGAAAATGGTTCAGTATTATTCCAAAAAGTTTAAAAGAAATTTTATTTTTTTTGCTTTGAAATTTGTTGGAATTTATTTCTGGCTTATGAATAAACGTATTTTATCAATGTGGCAAAAGCTTCGAACATTGGAACTAAATATTGTCTATTTCTTTCGTGTCGTGTGATAGAACCTTGCATGAGGATTTTACATTTTATTTTTATAACAAAATGTATTTTCCGGATTGCCCTCTAGCAATATTTTCACGGGCATTTTTTTACAGGGCAGCTATTCAGGCTATTGCAGCATATTTGGAGGCCTTCCAGAAAATTGCGGACTCCGCTACCAGCGCTAGAGGTATGTTAACACTGAACTTTTCTAATATTAGATGTAATATATGACAGACTTTTTGTCATTTGCTACCTATTGTTACTGACAGCTACTTTTTAATAGTTGTTTCAATTTCAACATAGGCAGGCCCGTACATAATTCGTCCAGCTACATTTTAAAATGCTGATTTCAAACCAAGAATTCGTACCAAAATTTTAAATCGTTTTTTAACATGAAAGAGTTTTAAAAAAGTTGTTATAAATTTATAATATATAAAGGATTTTTTGCTAGTAGATGTATCATATTTTAGTCGAGATGATTTTCTTTCCTTAGAGGAAATTTCACAGAAACACATTTAATGGTTTGCATTTTACTGATTAGCATTGATAATTATTATTCCTAATTATTGATTTCCATGACATATCTCAGAAAAGCAGAAGGTTCATATGGCTGATTCTTGATTAAAATCAAAAAGTTTACTACGGTTTTTAGTTGTCGGGTTTCTAGGTTTGTTAGGACTAAGGATGTGTAAAATGGTTTTTTAAAAGTATTTAAATACAAAATGCAAATGCTTTTTTGTAGTAACTATTTAATTTCTTACATTTACATAAGTAGGTATAAAATATTTATTAAGGAAACCCTGCAGGCATTTGCTCATTTTTTAAATATTGGAGTTTTTCTAGACTAATAATGCTGTTGCACTCTATAACCAGCTGCGAAGATTAAGTATGATTCATATTTTTCTGTTTGAAGTGATTGAGGTATAGTTTTTCTATCTTTATGTTATTGTTTCTTCAGTTCAGTAACAAATAATTCTTCTATATTCTTCCTTATTTACCTTTATCACCCGTTTTAATTGGAAAAAAGACACTGATGCCAAAATAGTCTGTTTAGCATGAAAGATTAGAGCCAAAATAGGGTTGAAAATAATTTTATTAATGTAAAATCAACATCAATCATTTTATATCAAAATATTTACAACCCCATTTTGTTTCTGATTTTGACACATTGTGATAAGAGAAAGAAATGGAATGCATCTAATATGTGCAGTTATTCGAATAATCTTCTAAGAATTTTGGATTATAGGCATTTATTAGCACACCACAATATCTTGTAGTTTTCAGTTTTACGTAGCTGAGGTATATCAATTCGATTTCGATTCGTTTTGCGAACTGTTTTGTCGTAAAGGTACGATGTGTAATGATTTGGCAGGTGCCAAAATTTCACGGACCATGACCGGAAAACAATATCGATTANGCATGTAATTTAAATGAATATTTTCGAAGATATTACAGACTTAATATGCAGGGACATGGCGGTTGCGGCGGTACCGGCCGGTTTGTATTGTCTAATGACAAAAAAAGCTGTGATTGTTGTATATAAAGACATTCTATAGTATATTTACCATCAACATTGCACTCGTGCGAAGCATAAGTACAAATACCATTAAACCAATTCCTTAACCCCTATCCCGGTATGTTTGAAGAAGTTTTACTTCAGTAGCGTGTTGTATAATTACACGTTGTATTTTTGTTTATAGTGTTCCATAACTACAATTTCCTTCTTTTTCTTTTTCATGCAATCTGAAAACACGAAATTTTATACATTTCTTTTTACAAGTACCTACACAAGACCGTTTTAGCCCTTTCGATACTAAGCCTTAAAACACCTTTAGCTGTCTTAAATTACAAAGGCATGCAATATGATCTCATGGAAGTACACATTTTTTTTACAAATATGATTTTAATTTTCATCACGACCGGAAAGCGTGCATCGGTCAAGAAGCTTCTTACCTTTCTTATCGAGGGTAAGTTATTAATCCTCATAAAGGCATGCGGTATAAAATCGAAGAATCCTAGCTATCATCCGTTTTCGGTCCATAAGTATGGTATAACTACACATGATCCCTGTACTTTAAATGTGGAATAATTGATGTTTTACATTAAATAAATTTTGCTAGATTATCTAATAAATCATTCCGGAAACTTTGGTTCATGTCTCGTACATTGATATCACCGAAAAAATTCACTCTCATTGTATTACATCGCTAATGCAATCTTATGACTAATACTATCTATTCGACGTTATGATAGATATACTTGAACAGCGTTTCAGTTCTTGATAAGTATGTCGGCAGTGGTAAATTCGGCCGGTCATTACGACAGGTAGAAGAATTCATTAACCATAAGTCAAAGCGTAATCTCGACCGCTACGCTAAAATCTACCGAAAACTAAGTTTCTACACATTGCTTCAAGTATTTAGTCATGGAAAAGGAACATTAAACTACAATAAAACAAAGATTTAACAAAGAAAGTAGCAGTTTCTTTTAGTAATGCATTTATCGTACGTGTGTATTAACTAGAAACGTGCAAAATGGTTTTTTATATGTATTTAAATACAAAATGGAAATAGATTTTTGATTTGTTATTTCCAATGTAAAATAGAAAATATATTTCCCTTTTGTATTATAAATGCTAAATGCAAAATACGTATTTTCAAAATACCTTTTTTAGTACCGATTTAAGTAATATTCTACATTTATTTAAGTATAAAATATTTTTTAAGAAAACCTTGCAGGCATATGCTCATTTTCAAAATATTGGACTTTTTCTAGACTAATAGTGGTGTTTGCACTATATCACCAGCTGCGAAAATTGAGTACAATTCATAATTTTCTGTTTAAAGTGATTGAGATTGAGTTTATGTATCTTTACTTTACAGTTTTTCACATTAGCAATAAATAATTTTTCTACATACTTCCTTGTTTGCCTTTGTAACCGTTTTAATTGAAAAATAGACACTGATACCAAAATAGTTTGCTTAACGTGAAAGATCAATCAAAATAGGGTTGCAAATAATTTTATTGATGTAAAATCAACATCAATCATTTTATATCAAAATATTTACAACCCCATTTTGTTTCTAATCTTTTACACATTATAATAAGAGAAAGAAATGGAATCCGTAGTTTCTTTAGCTTTGGGTTCCTCTAATAAGTGAAGTTTTTCTAAGAATTTTAGATTATACTTATGCATTTATTAGCACACCACAATTCTTGTATTTTTCGGTTTTACACAGCTGGCTTATATCAATTCGATATTGTTTTGCGGTCTGTTTTGTTGTAATTCATAGAATTTCCTAGTTCCTTGCTAAAGGTATGATAAGTGGTGATTAGGGCAGGTGCTGACATCAATTTGGAACTTCTAAATTCCATGGACTATAACATTGAACCCGGAAAACAATATCGATCCAATATTTTAGATTATCCGTTTCCAAGGAGTTTAGAATTTTTTGGGCTCTCTTCAGATAAAGAATTAGAAGGCATTCATGGAATGTCTGTTTGCCCCCTTAGCTTCTAATATCTTCAATAGCCAATATGAGCAACTTTCATTCATCATTTTATATAAAAGAACTTTTAACGGCAAAAATGTATTTTGCATTTTACAAATAGAAAATACTAGTGTCCGACCGAAGGTTCGGTTTCGGTCGAGTTTCGGCAAAAAAACGAGTTTCGGTTTGGTTTCGGTTTCGGTGGCAAACCTGCCGAAACTACGACCGAAACCGAAACTGCGNTTCCGCCCACTGTCCATGTCCATGTCCGTACAACGCCGCGCTCCAAATATACACCTTTAACAACCTTTTTCGAATTTTTAAATTAACCGTTCGCGAGCATAGATGTGATTTTTTTTTATTAAAGGCGACACGACCCTGCCCTATCCTCTGCCTTATATCCCTACTACTCCTTCCGTCCTGACTTATCTGACTTCCGAGATATCTAAAATCAGCCACTTCTACTTTTTCGTCTCCTATCTTTATATTCGCCCTTTCCCTACTTTTTCTTTCCTTGCAAGCCAGTATTTTAGTTTTACTTTTATTTATTTTCATACAGTACTGATTTGTCAGTACCGCTTCCATTTTATTTAAACATGCGCCCTTAATTGCTAGTTGTGCCGCCCATTGAGAAAAGGCAAAGAGGGAATGACAGTCCCACTGTTTTTCATCTCAGGCCTCACCGAAAACATTATTTAAAAGTACATACGTACATTTTATTATTATTGAAAACAGAAACAGGAGTTAAGAGGGGTAGAGATAGACATAGATTAGGTTACTGTTCACAAATAGTTAAGGATGTGAGATATTGTAGTTTTAGGGAAATACGAATATTAGCTTATGATAGGATATAGTGGAGATGCGTGTCCAATCAGTCTTGGGACTGATCCCTTATGATGATGATGATCTGCAAAATACTTTAGTGTCTTTTGTATAATTATTAATAAAATAATTATTAAAACACTATTGAAACAATTAACCAAAATTTATACGTGCCAACAACAATTAAACAACAAAACAAACAGATGGTAAAAATAAAACACACAAAGAAATAACAACAATAATAATAATAACAGTAACAATTTACACAGGAAAAAAGACTTACTAGACTGTCGAATGTAAAGAGCACAGATGAATTGAAATTAAAAGGGATGTTAGGAGTATTTATAGTAGGAAAATGTTAGTAAAAAGAGATAGAATACTCAAGATAGACAAAGACTGGCAATAGGGGTTGAAGACACGGCTTACAGAAATACGTAGAATTGAAGAGGTTGAACAGTGTAGAATTTGAGGTAAGGTAATTAAGGGAAAAGCCAGCTATTAGTAAGAGGTGCATGCAGAAACGGTTAAAGTTAGATTTCTAGGTAAAGGTGATTAGGGACAATAGAACAGAAATATAAAGAAAACAAAGACATGCAAAAGATTAGAAGTCAAGATCTACATTGAAGACACATTAAGCATTATAACAGAAATAAATTTAGAAGAAATATATGTACAAAATATTTACACAAAAAAACAATACGAGTTCTTTTCGCCGATATGGGATGTTCTAGTTTTAAGGAAATGCAAAGATTAACTTAAGATGAGGAGAAGTGGACGTGCGTGTCCAATAAGTCTTAGGACGACCTCATGATGATGATAATGTCAATATTAGAAACTAGCAAAGAGGAGTTGGAATTAGCCATAAATAAAACGG